GAATTTCCGTCCTTAGAAGTTTTTAAGGCCCGGCTTAGAATGATAGAATCATAGAATATCAGGGTTGGAAGGGACCTCAGGAGGTCATCTAGTCCAACCCCCTGCTCAAAGCAGGACCAATCCCCAATTAAATCATCCCAGCCAGGGCTTTGTCAAGTCTGACCTTAAAAAACTTCTAAGGAAGGAGATTCTACCACCTCCCTAGGTAACGCATTCCAGTGTTTCACCACCCTCCTAGTGAAAAAATTTTTCCTAATATCCAACCTAAACCTCCCCCACTGCAACTTGAGACCATTACTCCTTGTCCTGTCCTCTTCTACCACTGAGAATAGTCTAGAACTATCCTCTCTGGAACCACCTCTCAGGTAGTTGAAAGCAGCTATCAAATCCCCCCTCATTCTTCTCTTCTGCAGACTAAACAATCCCAGTTCCCTCAGCCTCTCTTCATAAGTCATGTGTTCCAGACCCCTAATCATTTTTGTTGCCCTTCGCTGGACTCTCTCCAATTTATCCACATCCTTCCTGTAGTGTGGGGCCCAAAACTGGACGCAATACTCCAGATGAGGCCTCACCAATGTCAAATAGAGGGGGACAATCACGTCCCTCGATCTGCTCGCTATGCCCCTACTTATACAGCCCAAAATGCCATTGGCCTTGGCAACAAGGGCACACTGCTGACTCATATCCAGCTTCCCGTCCACTGTCACCCCTAGGTCCTTTTCCGCAGAACTGCTGCCTAGCCATTCGGTCCCTAGTCTGTAGCGGTGCATTGGGTTCTTCCGTCCTAAGTGCAGGACCCTGCACTTATCCTTATTGAACCTCATCAGATTTCTTTTGGCCCAATCCTCCAATTTGTCTAGGTCCCTCTGTATCCTATCCCTGCCCTCCAGCGTATCTACCACTCCTCCTAGTTTAGTATCATCTGCAAATTTGCTGAGAGTGCAATCCACACCATCCTCCAGATCATTTATGGAAGATATTGAACAAAACTGGCCCCAGGACCGATCCCTGGGGCACTCCACTTGACACCGGCTGCCAACTAGACATGGAGCCATTGATCACTACCCGTTGAGCCCGACAATCTAGCCAACTTTCTACCCACCTTATAGTGCATTCATCCAGCCCATACTTCTTTAACTTGCTGACAAGAATACTGTGGGAGACCGTGTCAAAAGCTTTGCTAAAGTCAAGAAACAACACATCCACTGCTTTCCCTTCATCCACAGAACCAGTAATCTCATCATAGAAGGCGATTAGATTAATCAGGCATGACCTTCCCTTGGTGAATCCATGCTGACTGTTCCTGATCACTTTCCTCCCATGTAAGTGCTTCAGGATTGATTCCGTGAGGACCTGCTCCATGATTTTTCCCGGGACTGAGGTGAGGCTGACTGGCCTGTAGTTCCCAGGATCCTCCTTCTTCCTTTTTTTAAAGATGGGCACTACATTACCCTTTTTCCAGTCATCTGGGACTTCCCCCGTTTGCCACGAGTTTTCAAAGATAATGGCCAATGGCTCTGCAATCACAGACGCCAATTCCTTTAGCACTCTTGGATGCAACGTTTCCGGCCCCATGGACTTGTGCACGTCCAGCTTTTCTAAATAGTCCTAACCACCTCTTTCTCCACAGAGGGCTGGCCGTCTACTCCCCATGCTGTGATGCCCAGTGCAGCAGTCTGGGAGCTGACCTTGTTCGTGAAGACAGAGGCAAAAAAAGCATTGAGTACATTAGCTTTTTCCACATCCTGTCACTCGGTTGCCTCCCTCATTCAGTAAGGGGCCCACACTTTCCTTGGCTTTCTTCTTGTTGCCAACATACCTGAAGAAACCCTTCTTGTTACTCTTGACATCTCTTGCTAGCTGCAGCTCCAGGTGCGATTTGGCCGTCCTGATTTCATTCCTACATGCCCAAGTAATATTTTTATACTCTTCCCTGGTCATATGTCCAACCTTCCACTTCTTGTAAGCTTCTTTTTTATGTTTAAGATCCGCTAGGATTTCACCGTTAAGCCAAGCTGGTCGCCTGCCATATTTACTATTCTTTCGACACATCGGGATGGTTTGTCCCTGTAACCTCAACAGGGATTTCTTGAAATACAGCCAGCTCTCCTGGACTCCTTTCCCCTTCATGTTAGTCCCCCAGGGGATCCTACCCATCCATTCCCTGAGGGAGTCGAAGTCTGCTTTCCTGAAGTCCAGGGTCCGTATCCTGCTGCTTACCTCTCTTCCCTGTGTCAGGATCCTGAACTCAACCAACTCATGGTCACTGGCCTCCCAGGTTCCCATCCACTTTTGCTTCCCCCACTAATTCTTCCCGGTTTGTGAGCAGCAGGTCAAGAAAAGCTCCACTCCTAGTTGGTTCCTCCAGCACTTGCACCAGGAAATTGTCCCCTACATTTTCCAAAAACTTCCTGGATTGTCTATGCACCGCTGTATTGCTCTCCCAGCAGTTTTCAGGAAAATTAAAGGGCTTGACAAAGCCCTGGCTGGATGATTTAGTTGGGGTTGGTCCTGCTTTGAGCAGGGGGTTGGACTAGATCAGGGGTGGCCAACTTGAGTCTGAGAAGGAGCCAGAGTTTACCAATGTACATTGCCAAAGGCCCACAGTAATGTGTCAGAAGCCGCCGCATCAGCTCCCACATCCACCCCCCAGCGCCTCCCACCCACGGGCAGCACCACCAATCAGTGCCTCCCCCGCCCTCTCTGCACCTCCCGATCAGCTGTTTCATGGCATGCAGGAGGCTCTTGGTCGGGGGGAGGAGCAAGGGCATGGCAGGCTCAGGGGAAGGGGCAGGAAGGGGTGGAGTGGGGGCAGAGCCTGTGGCAGAGCCAGGGGTTGAGCAGTGAGCCGAACTGAAAGAAGGCTTAGAGGAGATATGATTGCTATCTATAAATATATCAGAGGGATAAATACCACAGGGGGAGAAGAATGATTTAAGCTCAGTACCAATGTGGACACAAGAACAAATGGATATAAACTGGCCATCAGGAAGTTTAGACTTGAAATTAGACGAAGGTTTCTAACCATCAGAGGAGTGAAGTTCTGGAATAGGCTTCCAAGGGAAGCAGTGGGGGCAAATGACATATCTGGCTTCAAGACAAAGCTTGATACGTTTATGGAGGAGATGATATGATGGGATAGCCTAATTTTAGCAATTAATTGATCTTTGACTACTAGCGGTAGATATGCCCAATGGCCTGTGATGGGATGTTAGATGGGGTGGAATCTGAGTTACTACAGAGAATTCTTTCCTGGGTGTCTGGCTAGTGAGTCTTGCTCCCTTGCTCAGGGTTTAGCTGATTGCCATATTTGGGGTCGGGAAGGAATTTTCCTCCAGGGCAGGTTGGCAGAGGCCCGGGGGGTTTTTGCCTTCCTCTTCAGCGTGGGGCACGGGTCACTTGCTGGAGGATTCTCTGCACCTCAAAGTCTTTAAACCACGATTTGAGGACTTCAGTAGTTCAGACATAGGTTAGAGGTTTGTTTCAGGAGTGGGTGGGTGAGATTCTGTGGCCTGCGTTGTGCAGGAGGTCAGGCTAGATGATCATAATGGTCCCTTCTGATCTTAAAGTCTATGATTCTATGATTTGGAAGCAACCAGAGGCTTAACGAGCCAGGAGTTTAAGCCATCACTGCTAAAAGCCTGAACCAAGAACCTTGCAATTATTGTATGTATTTGATTCCTTTAACCAATTTTAACTCTCACCTTTCTTTCTTTCTTTCTTTCTTTTTATAAATAAATCTTTAGATATTAAATACTAAAGGATTGGCAACAGCGTGATTATTGGGTCAGATCTAAGTTATATATTGACCTGTGTATGTGGCTGGTCCTTTGGGATCAGAAGAACTCTGCTTGATGAAATTGGTTTTAAATAACCATTCATAATTAAGTCTAGTGTTTTGGTGGTGATACAAGGACTGGAATACCTAAGGAAACTGCTTTTCTGATTTCTTGTTAGCCAGGGAGGTGAATCAGAAGTTTACTTTTGTTGTGGTTTGGTATATCTTATGGGAGAATAACCAAACTTTGTCCAGTTTGGGGTGTGTCTGCCCCATTTCACAGCAGTTTGTCCTGAATTTGGTATTCTCAGTTGTGACCCACGGAAGCACAGTGACACTTGCATGTTTAGTAGCAACCACTGTAACAGCAAGATGGGCAAAGGAAGAGGAATGTCAGAGGGAAAACTTTAAATAGGCCAAAAAGCCTGTTTGTTTCATTTATCTACTTTTTCCCTTTTAAAAATGTTTTGTTGCCATTAGAAAAGAGAGATGCTCTTTGCACTCTGTTTTAAATGCTTCAATTTAATAAGCCCATATTTAGCAGGAGATGTGGTTTGGGGTTTGTGTGAAAAAAGTGTGGTTATGTTAACAGAAGTATTCCTACAACTTGAAAGCATTCGCTGTATAGTGAAAAGAAGGTGCAGAAATGGCAGGAACAGCCATGAAATTAGGACTTTATCTAAGGTGTCCTTTTAATATTTATCCTTAGCTAAGGCTATTCTACAGCTTTATGAATCCAGTAACAGAAGAGTAAAGTATGATAGAAACAAAGCTAAGTAGTGTCATATTCATATCAATTATGGAGCAATGATCAAATGGTGGTTTGCATTTCAGTACTAGTTTGCATGCTCTGACCTAAACAGACAAGTTCAATTCCACCAATGTCATAGGAAACAGGCAATAGTGGTCATTGGAGCTGGTTAAATTTTTTTCAATGGAATATTTTTATTGGAAAATGTAGTTTCATAAAATAAATCAAAACATTTCATAAAACGATGTCAATTTTGACAAAATTTGTTGACTTTCATGTTTTCTTTTAATAATGTTTCCACTCATTTTAATTTTACTTTCATATTATATTAAAATACTGACTTTGATACTATATTTATTATAATGTAAACTGCTCATGCAGTCCCCAAGCCACATCTCCTGCCAAAGTAATGTACTTATTTCACTGAAATATTTAAAATTATATTCTTATGTTTCAACATTATTGTGACAGGGTGAACCAACCTCGCACTGGGACAACGGGAACAGACCAATCACTGTGGGCCCAGAAGGCCACGCCCCCTTTCCCCTGCTGTACATGTTCCAGATGGAAGAGCCAGATAAAAGGAGGCAGCCCCGCTCAGTCAGGGCTGGCTGCAGAGATGGAAGGACATGTACTGCAGGCTCCTCCAGAGGTGCTGGTGGCGCTCTAGGTGGCAGAGCCCATAGACCTGGACTATGCTGTGGGTGACTCACGGACTGTAGAGACTGATGGGGATGCCAAGCTGCCACCAGCTGAGGAGATGCCTGGGACGCAATTTATGGTAGGAAGTGACCCAGGATGTAGTAGAAGCTGATGTCTAAACCCTTAATGGGGAAGTCCCTGACTTCATAGGGCTCTGAGTTGGAACCCAGTGGAGCAGGTGGGGCTGGATTCCCTTACCACAGGCCATTAGGCTTGGCTGTTGTTTGCACTCAGCCCCAGTCCAGAGGCTCAGGGGCTATAGATTGTTTGATTGCCCTGTCCCACTCGGTGGCTACAGACTGATTGTTTTTCTGCCCCGCCCAGAGGGCCAGAACCCCAAATACTACTGCCTGCCACCGTGAAGAGGCTTAGGGGCCATAGATTATTTGTTTGCCCAGCCCTGCCCGGGGGCTATAGGCTGATCATTGCCGTGCCCTGCCCAGAGGGCCAGAATGCCTATCGTTGTCAGCCATATTCCAGAGGCTCAGGGGCTACAGACTATTTGCTTGGCCCCCACCAGAGGTCCGGAACGCACCGTGCTGCAATTACCTGCTCTAACAAGCAATCCTGACAACGGGGTGTACCAACCCTGCACTGGGCCAACAGGGGCTGCCCAGCTGGACAAACAGCCCTCCCCCTCCCCCAGCCTTGTCATAATTATCAAAGTGAAATGCTTCACATTATCAAAATGAAACATTTAGATGGCTTCAAATTGATTTTTTTTTTAATTTCCAGTTTGTGGCAAATTTCAGAATTTCAGCCTTTCGTTATGATTCTAAATGAAAACAAATGTTGAAATATCAGAATTTACCACAGAAAGAAAAAGTTGTTTTCTAGCCAGCTCGACTGATGTTTTTTTTTAAAGAAACATTTTGATCAGTTTTCTGCATACACATTTCAGTATGGGTTTATCCCCATCTTTGAGTGCTAAACTAATTGTATCCATTAACAGTGCCAAGATTTACTGTGCAGTAAAAATAGTTATACACATCCCATACTCTGCACATTTACTTAATAAACTTGTTTTACATATGATAACAAAGCTATTGAAAACATAATAGAAATATCAAAGTTCTGCAGATATTTTTCTTATTAAAATTATGAATTAAATCCCCTTGCAAAAATGATGGGTTAAGCAATAGATTTCAACTTAAAAATCAAATTTCATATCCCATCTGCATGAGAGACCTTGGTTACAGACTTTTATTGACTAAGTCCGAGATTAGAAGAAATATGATGTCCTTGTTTCACCTAACTGCAATCTGTCTGCAACGAGTTAACATCCTGCAGTGACTGGAAATGGAAACTAAGAGGTGACGATAATGAAAATATGAGTCTTGTGCTACCTGTTATCAAGCACCAGAAAAAAATGTGAAGTGATTTTTAAAATCAAAGGAAACATTACTGCAGATGTACTGGTATAAAAGTGAGTTTCTAAGCTATCCTCAATTTCCAATAATTGTAGAATTTTTCAAAAGGAGTAAGATGTATGTCAGAATATAAATTTATGCTCCTCTAAGATTGAGGGGCAAAATTAATACTCTGCTTGAACCACAGGTAAGCATGTATTCTTTTCTCACAAATTATTAAAAATCATGTTATTTTTGTTCTCTTCTACAGATCTAATGCCTGTAATGCGTGTCTCATATTTTTTTTATTTCTTCTTGGAACCACAGTGAGTAGAAAATGAACAAGGAAATGAGAACAGCTGCATTATTTAACCCCTCCCTCCAGCAATGGCAGCACAAATCATTGGTGTACTAGTTATGCAAATACTGATCGCCAGATAATGCTGTTTGTTATTCAAGTGTATGTTGATTGGCCTACATGTTTGTACTAACAATTATAGGAGGTGATACATATTTGGTTTCAAACTTGAATTAAATCAAAGTATGGGTTAGATGTGCCCCTTGGATCTGCTACTTTATCACCAAAAAGACTATAAGAAGCTTGATAAGTCTTTAAACAAATATTTTTAACCCACCAAAACATCTGTGAAGGGTTTGGCACCAGCTTTTGAATCCTATTTTGCACCTCATCCAAACCTCCCAAAGTTCCTTGTTGGCCTAGTAAACCCCTATATCAAGCCACCTTATCAGGCCCCTACTCTTTATTATTTTCCTTTTTACAACATCCCATTTGGCTTGCGAGAGTTTGCCCAGGAAGGTGGAAATTAACTGTAACCTCATCAACCAACTGGGCAGGCTTCAGCTGCAGTCAGTTCTATTTAAACAAGTTTTAAAAGTTGATCAAGCAAACAGGCTAAATGAAGTTAGTTACCATTGACAGGAGTTACAATCAAATGTTTTTCAGGCAGCGATTTGCATTCATGTGCCTAATGAGGCTAGGCATTGGCCTGTGAAGTCTCATTAGATAACTCAGAACTGTGCCCCTGGATTTAGGGAGATACAGGGTAATTCCTGGTGGAACAGTGCCAGACTCTCATGAAAATGTACATGTAGCTTCTTCTTTATGGAGTTGGGGCAGAGAGAGGGCAGGCCTGAAAAGATGTAGTGCCTGACCCTCTTGTTGCTCTTAACCAGAGTTGGGTGGGATGCAAAATTCTTTTATAAATTAATTCAGAAGTCTGGCTGTCAGGAGATTCTAGACTGGTGTTGCTAGTAAGTATGGATGTACCTCAAACCCTGGAATCCTGGGTCCAGAAGGCTGGTGACAGTGAGATGCAGTACAGAGAAGACTGTTACAGTTCTCCCAATACTGCCTCTGAAGGGGATCTGTTTCCAAGAAATTCTGGGCCTGAGATAGTGATCAAGGAAGCAGCCCTCCACATTCATCTCCTTCTGCTGTGGATGGTGCGATTGGCCTCAAAACCTTTAGGTCACAAGGGACAAACCAGATAGTGCTGATTGGTGCAGACACCACAGCAAAAGTGTCGTAAATTAACATGCAGGAGACTAGCACAAGAAACCATGATCCTGATGGGCTGGGCAGAATCCCATCTGATAACCCTCAAAATGATATGCCTGGCTAGCATGCACAACCTTGAAACAGGCTAGGTGAGTGTGAAGGGGTCAACTCACCGCTGGTACTTCCTTGTGGCTGGCCATGGCATGGCAGTTCGCTCTCTACTGAGGATTTCAATAGCTCAGACATAGGTGAGAGGTTTATTGCAGGAGTACATGGGTGAGATTCTGTGGCCTGCATTGTGCAGGAGGTCAGACTAGATGATCATAATGGTCCCTTCTGACCTTAATATCTATGAATCTATTGAAGTCCTCAAATCATGGTTTAAAGACTTCAAGGTGCAGAGTATCCTCCAGCAAGTGACCCGTGCCCCATACTACAGAGGAAGGCGAAAACCCCCCAGGGCCCCTTCCAATCTGCCCTGGAGGAAAATTCCTTCCTGACCCCAAATATGGCAATTAGCAGAACCCTGAGCATGTGGGCAAGACTCACCAGCCAGATACCCAGTGTTAAGATATAGATATTCAGGCCTGTCTGCAAAGGCCTATACTTTAAGAATTTAGGTGTATTCTTATCATTTAGCTAGTTATAGAAGTATAAAAGAAACATCGGCAGACAGTGATTTTGATTCTAAGTGCCTTCTCTTACTGTGACAGTCTGAGGCCCTGTTCTTAGGCTAAGGCCTTTGGCTAAGCAGCAGAGGCAGCCATAAGCTGGGAAGCAAACAGTCACATCTTCACATTTCAAACTAGTCACACTGAAATAAGGCAATCTGAGGCTCTTAGAAAGATGATCCGATCTATCACCTTCAGAGAAAGAGAAGAGCCTAGAGAATGTAAAAGGAAGTTTAGTTTGATAGTTTTCTGTTCAGTAAGAACTCACTTATCAATAGACACAGCTGGGAAACCCTTATGTCTTTATAGATGTAGTTGTGAAATCCTCACTTCTGTATTGTCATTATAGTTCCTACTTTGCTATTGTTTGTTTGCATGGTCTCCGTCTGGTTCTGTGATTGTTTCTGTCTGCTGTATAATTAATTTTGCTGGGTGTAAACTAATTAAGGTGGTGGAATATAATTGGTTAAATAATCATGTTACAATATGTTAGGATTGGTTAGTTAAATTTCAGTAAAATGATTGGTTAATGTATAGCTAAGCAGAACTTAAGTTTTACTACATAGTCTGCAGTCAATCAGGAAGTGGGGGGGGAATTGGAATCATGTTTTGCTAAGGGGGAGAATGGGAACAGGGACACAGGTAAGGCTCTGAGGTGTCAGAGCTGGGAAGGGGGACACTAAGGAAGGAAACTGGAATCATGCTTGCTGGAAGTTCATCCCAATAAACATCGAATTGTTTGCACCTTTGAACTTCAGGTATTGTTGCTCTCTCTTCATGCAAGAAGGACCAGGGAAGTAAATGGGTGAAAGAATAAGTCCCTAACACCCAGGAAAGAATTCTCTGTAGTAACTCAGATCCCACCCCATCTAACATCCAATTGGGCCTATTTACAATGAATAGTTAAAGATCAATTAATTGCCAAATTCATTAACCTATTAAGGTTCACCATGGATACCCTTGATCTTCTCCACATAGATTGATCAGACTAGGGTTGCAACCTAGTGAACCTTAAAGTCCATCAGACTACTGTCTCTTTGACCCTACGGCTACTTTAGTTTTGCAGTCAATAGCATCAGACAGGATTATGAAAATTCCAGTGTGTTAGTTCTACCCACACCTCCAAAAAAACGGTTTGTTTTTTTTTCTTCCAGGTTTTTTTATTTTTTGAACTTCTGTGTCGCTCTGAAGTATTTCCATGGGCATAACTTATATTGGAAAGGTTTTTAATACTAGAAACATTAGCTTCTGATGCCAGACTGTGACTGAAACTTTAAGTACTCTGAAAAGTTGAGAGAAGTAACAAGAACAACAAGGTTCTTTTGCCCATGAGAAAGCAATAAAAAGCTTATAGAAATGCCTAGAGGGGCAGAGGAATGGGTGGAGACACTGGTGATTGGAGACAAGTGGGTAGGTAGTGTGCAGAATCAACAGCCATTGGGTGTTGAAGAGAGGGAAGCATTAGGAGTTATGAGCAATTAGTAGGGATTCATTTACTAAACTCTATGAACAGCTGGAAAGGGGGCAGGGCCCCTGATGATGTAATTTTTTTTTGAAGCTGGCTGGTATCTAATTTTTCAGTCTTCACAGTGTTAAATTCCTTAGGTAGTTATTTTTCATTCTAAGTGGAGCAGATGTGAAAGCTGCTGATCAATCCTGCAAACAGATGATTAGTCATTACCAAACGTTATGATTTTTGCATTTCTAAAACTGAAGAAAGTGGCAACAAATAAACAATTAAATGGATTGAAGTAATTAAACATTTTTTCCTTCTCTTGGCTTTGGTCTTTTTGGCTAGCTTCTTTTCTTTAGTGGGACATCCCAGGAGGAGAATAGAGAGGAGTCTGGATTTATTATAAATGAGAACTCTTTGACTTCATTCAGCTATTAAGATGTTTGAGGAATAACTTATGTGAGTTACTTTATGTGGATGCTAATATGTCCTTTACAGGCAACTTCCTTTATTTTTAATGATTACAGATAGGAAATTTACTTGAGCAAAAATAACTGTAAATTAATTGATTTTTTTTTTGAATGGGATAGATTAAAAAGACAGAGCTCTGAGCTAACTTTTATTAGAGAATTCTCACCTCCTAAAAACAGATATAGGACAGGGTGGCTGACCCCTGTGATTAAAGCAGGTCTGGCTCCTTGCACCGGAGCAATTGCTCCCATTTGGCTAATTAAGAAGGCAGAGCAGCATCTGGGGGGTATGAAAGGTCAGGGAGTGACCCCATGAGACAGGGACCCAGTGAATCAGTTGCCTGTGTGGGTGTCAGGGGAAGATGAGAGCTGCTAGAGCTCAGGGGACAATGGAAGGTCCTGGAAGGAAGTAGAAGGTGTTTACTGGGGGAAAGGCTGAATTCAAAGAGAACAGCAAGACAGCCAGGGCCGGAGGACTCGAGAGTACTGAAGGCAGGAGGCGCAGCAGCAGAAGATGCCTGCTGGCTCTGAGCTGGAGCCAAAGCCCACAGAGGGCTGGGATGACTTACCTGCACTGTCTCTGTCCTATACAGCTGGACATAGAGGACCCAGGAGAGGGCCAGGGGAAGTGAAGGATGCTCCCCTTATAAAGATGACCACCCAGCAGAGAGACTGTAGGGATTCCTATTGAGAAAAGGGGGGTTGCATTCCAGGTGGATGAGCTGGGGTGGCTGTCCTGGTATAAGGGTGGGAGAAGACTGGGAGAGTGCTAGGGTGTGATGAAGGATGCCAGAGTTGTATTTGATGTGATGTCTGGATTATGGTTGTGGAACTTTGTGCTAGGACTTGTTTTCGTATGGCTTGTGCATGGGACTTTTGTAACAAATTAACCCCACAAGGGCAAGACCGTTTGGACTGTTTTGTAGGACCCTGAAAGGGAAAATTGAGACAGGTGCACCTGTCCTGCTCAGTCTGGTGCAGGACAGCACTCCAGGTGGGGCTTTCCTATGACGAGGATGCTATCTGTGTTACTAATAATCTTAAAACAATACATGTACGGTTTTTTAGGTAAGAAAATTGAAAATATCATGAGGGGAAAAAAGTCTAAAATGGATTATTTTTTTGTCTCAGTCCACTGTTAGTTCACTAGAAGGAGACTGATACAACAAAACGTTTAAAACTTTAGACACTTCCATTAACTCTGCTAAACTCTCATTAAAACTTGTATGATGTATGCTTTGCTTTGTACTATTGAGTTTAAGTACTGTCTTTGAGTTGATAGTGTTATACCTTCTCTAAATTAATTAATTTTGTAAGAAATAGACAAGACAGAGAATCTTTTACATTTACATTAAGCCTTTCATGCAGAAGGACCTTGAAATGGCTAACAAACTATACATTGTACACATACCATACTTGAAAACTGTACATATGCCACCAGGGAAGCCCTGCATTTGGGAGAATCACTTGAGAGGAATGGGTGAAGCAGGGTTAGAAGGTAGAGTAGGAGGTCTGTCTTCTCTGTGAGTTCTGGGCCTATTTGAGGGCCCTCATATTTTACTGAAAATGTCTTCATGAACAAAGGTAAATTAAATAACATCCTGACAACAGGTTGGCTGTTGCCTCATGAAAATATGGTGCTATACAGGAAAAAAAAAGACAATATAAATACACAAAGATGTATTAAATATGTATTAGTGCCGGAAGACGACTAAGGTGAGTGAAACCTTTTGCTTTGATGTCTGAGCTTTGAGAGTTGCCGTAGTGGAGGGTAATTACGGTACAATAATTGAAATTGGAGTTGTGGTA